GTAACAAGTTGAAGGGATGGTAGCAGGATGACCGAAGGGGTAGGAGGATGACAATGATTTTTTTGATCCGGGGTAATTGAGTAATTTTTCTCCTCATCTTGGTTAGTGTGCTGATTCCAAAGTGGACAAAAGCTGAGGGTTGGAGGGAGTATTTTCCTACTTGCACATGGGTTCACCCATTATCAAATAATATACGGAGTATTTAACTACTGAAGCTCGGTTTGTTCACCAGGTTTACTCAAATTCATCCCAAATCAAACATGTTTATATTAACCTAATGCTATTAATTAATGGAAAGAAGCATAAGGACAATGTTTAATGCTGGATACCTCTCTATTGCAACCTTCATAAGAACAAACAACTAGATAAAAATTTTAAAACTGCCATCATCTGCTTGGAAACTGTCATCAGACAAAGATGAGTATAGATGTTTGTAAACATTAAATATTCATGCAAACTAAACGAGAAATTTACACCTATGAAAAAATTGAACTGCCTATACTTGTGATATTGTGGGTTCGAGTCACACGGAGGTGGAACTGACACCCTTTAACCACATATGTGTGTGGGAGCATGTACACATTTGACAAAGTTTTCCTTAACTGGATCAGGTTTAAGTGCATAGATTTGGATGGGAATGGGGTTCTAACCAGGAACGAAATGCAGTTCTTCTACGAGGAACAATTGCATAGAATGGAATGCATGGCCCAAGAGCCGGTTTTGTTTGAGGATATTTTGTGCCAGATTGTTGACATGATTAGTCCCGAGGTAGCATTTCATTTGGTTGCTGCTTTTATATGTTTCTCTGGCTCTTACTTTTCTTTCCCTATGCTAATGGACTTTATTTCAAGAAAACCATTGTTTTTCAAGATTAAAAGTCCTCTTTTAGCTTTGGAAGAGGCCTTGCATTTTTTATTTTTTGGTTTTGTTTTTTGGGAGTGGGAGGATTTATTTTATTTGTACCTAAGGATCTGTCTGGATTAAGGGGTTTGTAGGGTGGATCATAGTTTATATCTTGATAAACAAACATGATTCTGAAAACAAATAGAAGGTGATATGCTCACAAATTAAGTTAATTTTCCTTTTTTTAAAAAAAATTCAGATATTTATTGAGATATAGACCAAGCCCTCTGACCTCCAAAGCCTTCCCCTCCAAACTTCTCCAAAAGCCTCCATCCGAAGTCCAAACAGTGGCTAAGGGAATGTCTAATTTTGATTCTAGATGTCATTTTCAATATATAACGAGTTCAATTGACATTCAATTTTGTTTATTTTTCTTCACAGGATGAAAGCTATGTTACATTACGCGACTTGAAGGGAAGCAAACTGTCGGGCAGTGTTTTTAACATTCTTTTTAACCTCAATAAATTCATGGCGTTTGAAACTCGTGATCCTTTCCTAATTCGTCAGGTATTAGTAATGAAATATTTGATCTGGTTATGGAATTATGAGATTCTACAAGTTGACAAGGATTAATTAGTGGTGAGTATAATTTGTATTCTTGAAGGAGCGTGAGAATCCAAGTTTGACTGAGTGGGACCGCTTTGCCCATAGAGAATATATTAGGCTTTCAATGGAGGAAGACGCAGAAGATGCCTCCAACGGAAGTGCTGATGTCTGGGATGAATCGCTCGAGGCTCCCTTTTGAGTTTAATTATGTGATATGGAAGGTAAACTCACATGCATGACCCCACCCGTATCCGTGCGTTATTTATGCTTTTTTTGTGTGCTATTGACTCTATATAATTGTAGTAACCTAATGACACACAGTGAGCCAATGCCTCTGCTGGGAACCTATCCCGGGTGATCATCCCACAAGATCTTGGTTAGTGGTCTTCTTGCCACTCAAACCAAGGGAGAAACTCAATTCTTTATACTATCAGTGTTATTTAAAGGGAAAACTACACGGATCCCCCAATTATTACTTGGCTGAAATTGCTGAACTGTGAAAAAATACATTTAGAATATATTAAAAATAATTATATGAAAAAAGGTAGATATGATAATCTTCTGCGACTTTAGGCAAAAAATACCCTGACCCTACTTTTTCATTCTTAACCAATTCAAAAAATACCCTGACCCACACTGCACACTTTTAGATAACAAGATCATAGGACTTCTAAGGTTAGGGCTAAATCCACCCCACTCCTCCCTGATATTTAAACACACTCCGGGTGGCCCTAGCAATAAGCGGGATGAATTTAGCCCTACCCGACTTTCAATTTAAAGCAGTTTATCTTATCCACGTCATGAACTCCAAATTATATGCTATATCAGAGAGTTTCTTTTACGTGTGTGGCTGTGTGCCAGTTTTTCTCATAATCCTCTCTCTCTCTGTCTCTCTCTCTTGTTATCAGGTGATTTTTAGGGAATTTTATTTGGCGTGGCGGCTTTTGAACAGCGGAGGACAATTTTGCACAGCAAACCCATGGCCCATGGGATTAACCAACGTGTGTCTCGTTCCAGGAAGAACAAACAAGTGGGGCGTTTTTTCCTGGGATGGCTAGAAGGATTTTTGTTGCATCTGCATAAAAAAGCTTGGTTGCCTAGTCAAACATCAGTTCTACTAGTACAGAAGCTTCTTCTTCTTCTTCTGACTTAAAAAAACAAGTGTCTTGGCAGATTATGCCAAAACATGATTCACAAGCCTTAGCACTTCTTTCTTTCTCTAGCTAGTTGTAAGGAACTGTGATTAGAAATTATTTGTTCCTAGATAAAACATTAGTGTTTTTTCCCCCTCATTTCTTTACATTCTCTACAAAAATGTTTTTCCCCCCTTTTCCCAGGATGATCAGTGCTCAGGCGCAGTGTTTTTTTCTTTCTCTCTTTCATGGTCTCTTGGCTCTTGCTGTGTTCAATATCTATATGTGATGTGGAGCTTTGTAATGGTGTTTTTATTTGTCAGTGTAATTGCTACTAATTGCCATTGAGTTTAACCCATAAGTCGTATTATTAGTGTAAAAGGGCAGTGTAAATTGACTTTAATTAGCATTAAACACTGGTGATGGACGGTTGGGATGATGATCTGATTTTTGCAAGGAAATTGTGTTGTGTACACATTCACTTCCTAAAACTATTGGTGTTTTTTTGTGTTCATTGATATATGTTGGCAGACTCGTCTTTGTCTCTTTGAAATACATTATTACTCTATAATTACGTGAATTTTTGTTATGATTAAGTAAAAATAGTTACAGAGTTGATCACATAAAAAAACCAAAATAAATTATACTCCGTAAGCTCTTGTAAAAAAAGTGCAATAAACGAAATATGCCTAACAATGAGATCATTTAAAATAATTTATTAGGAATAATTGTTTAGCCATTTATTCATATATTCACGTGTATACACGGAATTTATAATAGTGTACTCGATAAAAAAAATTTAGATTGGGCTCCAGAAAGCTTAATCTATTTATTAAATGAATTTTACTTTTTGTCAATCCATGAAGACTTTATCGTGAAGACTTCTTATTCTTAATACAAAAGACATCTGAAGATATTTTTTGCTTAGCCCAACGAATCCAATATGATGCATGGCATCTCCACTTGGAAACTTTTCTATAACATTCGTCTCAGTTTTGCTCAATTGGAAACTTTTCTATTCCGATGTTAATATTCACGCTTCAAACTAACCTTGAGTATGTCACACTGAAGATGTTATCAAATACGTACAATATGAACAAATAAGTAAATTTAAAAAATAATCTTTTCTAATGAGGAGTTTTGTTAAATTAGTTCTTAATAATTTCTAATTACTTACATGATACTTTATAATTGGAATTTATTCCTTAAATAATCATTCATAAAAATCTAAACTCAAAATAGATTATCAAAATAGTCATTTCAATACAATTTCATACGGAGTATAAAATTAAAATAATCATTGACTGTTAATAATCCATAAATTATTAAAAATTTATCAAAGTATTTTTAAAGTTGAATCAAATACACTCCCTAAATTAGAAAAGACCATTTTGGAAAAACATTTCATTGGAAATGATAAATTTGAGAACTTACTCTAAGTTTAGATTATACTCCGTAAGATATACTTCACTTAATCGATACTCCCTCCGTCCATAAATAAACTTTCCACTTTCATTTTTCGTCCGTCCACAAATAAACTTCCCATTTCCTTTTTTGGAAACTTTTTTCATGCGAAAAGACTTAATTGCCCCCACCTCCACTCTCTTTCTTTTCTTTTTCTTTCTTCTTCGCCGCTTCTCACCCATTCCCTTCTTCTCTTTTTTTTCTATTTTCCTCTCCCAGTCTCCCTTCTGAAATCACCCACATGCCACTGCCGATTTTTTCTCTGTTCTTCTTTCTTTCTTTTCTTCTCTTTTTCATTCTTTTCCTTTCTTCTTCTTCTTCTCTCTTCTTCTTTAATTCCTTTTCCTCCATGTTTTGATCTTTGTTCCGTCACCCAATAATTGGGAGCAGCGAGCAGAGAGAGGCGGGCAAGAAGAACCAGAGATCGAAGAGCAGATCTATGAAATCCCATGGTACATACGTGAACCAGAGAGAGGCGGGCAAGATGAACCATGGTCAGATCTGTTCCTTTTTCGACATAATCTCCATCAATTTCATAGATCTATAAAGCTTTTGTTACTCCTAGCCTTGCCCCAAGCCGTCAAAACCTCGGATGGAAGAGATTAGATCTACGAGGGAGGGGGTTACGGAAGGGATGGCGGCAAGAAGAACCACCGAAGTCATCCGATGGTTCCAGAGAGTCGGCGGCAGCGGCTGTAAAGAATCGCCGGCTGTGGTAGAGAATCGCTGGCGGTGGTAGAGAATCGCCGGCGGGGGTGTTGGCAATCAGAGATTCGGTACCAGTAGATTGAAAGATGGAAGGTTGCAGGGGTAAAATAGGAAAGTCAAAACAAATTTTATCACACACTAATATGTGTGCCCGGTCAAACCGGGAAGTTCTTTTTTAGACGGAGGGAGTATTTAAGTGCCATTTTTTTAATGAAAGACTATCAAGAGAACAGGTTTCCATTACAAAGTGCGACATATGTAATTTGAACTTATTGATGATTAATTTAGAAAAACACTTCATTAGGGAGAAGTTTAATTTTTTTTTGAAGTCTCATTTTTTATATATGTGGCTCTAAACATTGGGACAAAGAACGCGAGACAATAAAAAGACTAGCAAAAATAATGGAGGGAAAGCAATAGGAAGGATGTTTTAACACAAACACAAACAAAAAAAAAAGATCCATCCAACCGCCATTGTTCTCTCTCCCTCCAAGACCCCATCCTCCCTCCCACCGCCTCATTTTCCAAAGGTGCGTAAATATGCATAACCCGCCATTGCAGTTGAATTTTTAATTCCACTGTGTAATGTTACGCCTTATAGCCGATCATTTCGAACCCTTTAGATCATCTTTGATTTCTTCTTCTTCATGCCAGAATTGGAGTGGGGGTTGATTGTTTCTGGAATTTCTGCGATTCATCTTCAACAATCCATCATATGATTGATGAATATGTAAACCCCCTTGTCATTGCTTCGATTGGATTTTCGATTTTGAACTTGCCTGTTTTAATCAATTGATTTGGGAGATGGTGAAGAAATGGATCAATTGGGGAAGTATTCGCATAGTCCGGCTCATTTGGCGGTGGCGAGGCGAGATCATGCCGCTTTAGAGGAGATCGTTTCAGCTCTGCCGCGGCTGGCCAAGGCCGGCGCCGTGAACACGGAGGCGGAGTCTCTGGCGGCCGAGAACGACGCCGACGCGGTATCCGCCGTGATCGACAGGCGGGATGTCCACGGCCGCGAGACTCCCTTGCACCTCGCGGTCAGGCTGCGAGACGCGATTTCCGCGGAGATTCTGATGTCCGCCGGCGCCGATTGGAGTCTCCAGAACGAGAAGGGGTGGAGCGCCCTTCAGGAGGCGGTCTGTTTGCGGGAGGAGAACATCGCGAAGATCATCGTGAGGCATTATCAGCCCCTCGCTTGGGCCAAGTGGTGCCGCCGGCTTCCCAGGATCGTCGCGTCCGCCTCCCGGATCCGCGATTTCTACATGGAGATGACCTTCCATTTCGAGAGCTCCGTTCTGCCGTTCATCGGGAAAACCGCGCCGTCCGACACCTACCGGATCTGGAAAAGGGGATCTAACCTCCGCGCCGACATGACGCTCGCCGGATTCGACGGCCTCCACATCCAGCGCTCTGATCAAACCATCCTCTTCCTCGGGGAAGGGTCCGAGGACGAAATTACCTCCCTGCCCCCGGGTTCATTGCTCGTGATGTCTCACAGAGAAAAGGAGATAACGAACGCCCTGGAAGGGGCAGGGGCGGAACCCACCGAGTCAGAAGTCCCCCGTGAAGTGGCGTTGATGTGCAAGACGAACATGTACCGCCCGGGCATAGACGTGACTCGGTCAAAACTCGTCCCCCACTCCAACTGGATGAGGCGGCGCGAGAAGACCGAAATGGTCGGCGCCTGGAAAGCCAGAGCCTACGACATGCTCCACGTGATTGCCAGCGTGAAGTCGCGGCGGGTCCCCGGCGGGATGACGGACGAGGAGCTCTTCTCGGCGGGCGACGACGGAGACTGCGACGTTCTGACGGCGGAGGAGAGAGTGCAGTTAGAAGATGCCCTCCGCGGAGGGAATTCAGATGATATTCTCGAGTACGAAGAGGATGGCAATGATTATAATAATCACAATGATTGTACTAGTAACAATAAGGAAAAGAAGAGTTGGTTTGGTTGGAGTGACAGGAGAAATTCATCAAAGCAACATATGGCCAAGGAAGATGAGAAGAAGAAGAAGAAAGAAGAGGGCGATGATAACAAGAGCAAAAAGAAGAACAAAGGGTCGTCTTCTTCGTCGAGTGAGAGCGAGTATAAGAAGGGGCTGAGGCCGGTTTTGTGGCTGACTTCCGATTTCCCATTGAGAACAGATGAATTACTGCCCTTACTTGACATATTGGCCAACAAGGTTAAAGCTGTGAGAAGATTGAGGGAGCTTTTGACCACCAAGCTGCCGCCGGGCACATTTCCGGTCAAGGTATGTAATTCCTTTAATCCCTTTCCTTCCTATGCGATTTATTCTTCCATTGTTGTTTTAATTTTTGTAATAAAGGAAATTTACCGAAATAAAACTAAAACATAATGATTTTCTCAATATAAGAGTGGTTGTTTTTAATCTCAGATTGCTGTCCCGATTGTACCGACCATCCGAGTAGTTACCTTTACAAAGTTTGAGGAGCTTCAGCCATTGGAAGAGTTCTCAACGCCTCCGTCAAGTCCCACAAACTTCCAAGATGCCAAGTCCACGGAACCAGCAGGCCCCGACAGCACATGGACTTCGTGGTTTCAGGTCGGGAGTCGGGGTGATCAGAGCGAAAGTTGGTGCTGCTCTCAGATTGATCAGATTGACCCCTTCCAAATCCCACCGGATTACACCTGGGTTGACTCCAGTGAGAAGAAACGCCGAAGAAAAGCCACTAAGAAAGCCAAGTTGAAGAAACTCAAGAAACACAATCCCTCAACTAATGGTTAAAATCGCTTCTCAACCGTTAAGGCCCGTTTGGTTAGAGGTATGTGACTGAAGTGACCGAATCTTCTTTTTTTTCAAAAAGGAAAAGTGGCGGGTAACGTCTATTTCGGCCATAGTACAGAAAGCTAGCGGCGTACAGCCAAACGCAGCCTTGATAACTGAATTCTCTACTTACCACTGTGTAAATATGCATATATGCTCCTTTCATAGTTAACAGCTAATCATGATCCAATAAAAATTGGGATAACAAATGGAACCACTGATGAATGGATTAATAAAGAACAATAAGGGAAACATGCTCAGCTGCAATTCATACCCAAACACAATAAATTAAGGCAAAGATGGGAGTGACACATCCAAAGAAGCAAGCAGACTTTCTGTTCACAACCATAAGTGGCTAAAACACCAAATGACAGAAAAGGTAAGGTTCATAATAGAAATAATAGAGACCCATATCTCTACGCGTTATAATCAAAAACTAACTCATCTCATGTTATTATCTCTACGCCTGTTGTACCGCGTGTTGGGCCTTACTCTGTCGCGCTGAACCACAGGTTCTACTCGCCTCTGTCTTTCAGGCGACCGTTGCACTATCTCCCCATTCACAAACAGTTCAGCTGCATATCATATGCATTTCCCGTTGAGTATTAATTAAAACACAAACAAAAAAATAAACCAGATAAGCATATATACTCCCTCCAGTTTATACAGTAACGGATATTTACACTATGTTTGGTTCAATGAATTAGAAAGGGAAAAGAAAAGAAAATAAGAAGGAAAAAGATTTTCTTGTTTGGATACAGAGGAAAAGAAAAGAAAAGTGGAAGAAAAACAAAATGAGAATGCAAAATGAACTAAGAGGAGGGAAAACTAAATCATTCCCATAGGAAAATGAGAGAAACCCATTTTTTTCTTTTTCTTTTCCTCACAAATTCCTTGAACCAAACACAGTGTTAGGAAGAAATCAAGAGAAAAGGGAGAGAATAACATTACAATATTTCCCCTTTCTATGGTTTAATTATCATTGAAGATTAAATTTTTGCATGGGGGGTTTAAAGAATGGCAAATATGAAAACAAAAAAAAACATCAAATAGAGGCATGATTCTAGTGAAACCGATTGTTAATGTAAAGAACACTTATTCTAAATTAAGTAACATACTAAAAATGCATAATCAGAAACATTGAAAGGATGGCCCTGCATGCTAAGGAGTAGGCTGTACCAGTTTTTCTTTCTTTTTATTTTTAGTGTTTTATGGGAGATGGGAGCAACAAATGGAGAAGATAAAAATTCCAATCTACAAATCTGGTTTTTTCTTATTGAGTGTATCAATATGAGGTGTCCTTTTCAACATTCAATATCTATTCATTCAATTTGTTGTTATAATGTTCAAGTTAATCTTTGAACTTCATGCACCGGATTAATAGAGATTGAGGTAAATTATAATATAAAATGTAAGATAAGGACAATGCTAATATGTGTTTCCTTTATTTATTACTCCAAACTTTTGATGCTTGTTGATTGGACCAAAGATCCTCAAAATCATTTTTGGATGGAAATTGGTTTATGTGCCTCGTGTTTTACCCCAATATTTTATTTTGCACCTAATTCGTTACTCCATTTTTCTCACAAAAAGGTTCCACAATGGAAACAAAACGGTTATTAAGAAAAAGTAAAATTGTATGGTTAATAGTGGTGCAAGGGAGAGAAATTATTCACAGATTTTTTTTTTGTAAATAGAAAGTGAAACTGTTTTTGGAACAGATGAAAAAAGAAAAACGAAACCCTTTTAACAAGACAAAGGGAGCACTATATTTCCTCAATATTTGACTTTGTAGTTTGCACCCCACTTTGGGGTGCTCTGAGTGCAAGTTCCCAGAAAATAAAGCATAATGTGCAAACTGTAAAGTCAAAATGTGGGTAAAACAAGGAGTGCACCAATCACCAATGTTCCATTTCCTTGGAATTAATGCATTTTCATAATGTAGAACATATAGGTGTTATTGCATCATAATTTGTTATTATTAATCACCTAAACTACTCGAATCTGAAAAACAATCCAAATAGATTGAAGAATATGAGACCTGTTCTTCTCAAATCATGGCATTCAATGATGAAATAATGAAAAAGATAGGGCGGGCGAGCGGGGCGGGGGGGGGGGGGGGGGGGGGGAGTGCAGAAATGTTTTAACTTACCTCCATAGTCCTTGTATTCGGCATCAACATACGAATCGGGCAGCACAAACAAAACTCCAGGCAAACCTATACCAAATTGAAATCGAATTTATCCACGCCAGTCTTTAGATCAAATGCAACTGTGATATTAGGGTTTAAAAACAAGATGCTACAAACCTTCCATCTTGTTTGAAGTCTCCTCGTCCACTTCACAGCCAAACCCAAAGTATCTCTCACAAGAAACGTTGTAAATCTTCTTCTTTGCCTCCTCTACGCTGTTCAAGCATACTAAAAAGTTAACCTTTTTTATACATTTTAGAAAAAAAATGCCAAAAAAATAAATAAATCATCATTTAAATGTATTTTTTTTCAATTGCCTTCCGACGACTTTAGCTAGGGTTTGAACGTAGCAATCGATCATCTGCTCTTTGGTGGCGCCTTCGCCTCCAGGCTTATCCATGACGATTAGCCAGTGCTCGTAATCACAGCCAGGGAAGAGCGGGGCTATCTCGGTGGGAGGACGGTCGCTGGACCCGGGATTGTAGGAAGGGTTCCCGGATCGGTTGACGCGGAGCCGGGCCTGGTTGAAGCGGACGGAAAAGATCCCGTACGGATTGGAGGGAAGAAGGGAGTGGGAAATGAGAAACGAGGGTTTCGGGGAGCAAAGGGCGGCAGGGAGAGGCGGCTGCTGAGTAATCGACGGCGAGGATGATGAATCGGCGGTCGAGAGAAGGCGAGCGGTGGAATGGAATCGGCTGGGGGTGGGAAGAGGGCGGCGCAGGGCCTTTGCTAGCTTCACGGTTGCAGCCATGGCGTAGATTGCGGCACAGGAGTGGACTGCTCGGGGGCGAAGGGAAGCTGTGAAGGTTTTTGGAGATGGCTGTTCTTGGATTAAGGATTTAAGGGTTACTTTTTTGTTTTAACTTTAGAAATAGAATCATGTTTGAATACACCTCTTAAATATATACTTCCTCCGTCTGGAAATTTTTTTCTCATTTGATTTTTTACGATCTCTAATATTGTTCTTTGATCACAAATATCTTTATTTATACATAAATATATTTTGTAAAAATTTGATATTTGAAAACTATATATCAAAAGGAATATATTCATATTAAAGCTATATTATGATAGAATGTATTTTTTCCATATATTATATGTAAAGTTTATAAACTTTGACCAAGAAAAGTCAAATGGGAAAAATAAACGGAGAGAGTATTAAATTAAAAATAGATATATAGAAATATTTAATATATGTGTACACAGACATTAACTATGTGTGTGTTTATTTTTGACTTGCTCTCTTTTCACTCCCACCATTCTATCGTAAGGAGTAATAAAATAAGAAATCTCTCATGATATGAATAAAAAATATGAAAATAGTAAAATAATACTTCTAAATTTTTAAAGAACAAAATAGAAATATAAGACACTGTGGTATAAGAGTATCCATTGGTAGTGTGATTAAAAAGTGACGAAAGTATAATATGTCTGTTTGATCAGTAAGTGATCCACGACTACACTCTTGTGGCAGGCAGCGACATATGATAATGTGGTGATAATAGTGTGACAATGTGATGAATGTGATTGTGTAAACTCGTATTTTAGTCTAACTTATGACCCTTAATTTGATATTTTATACTTCCTCTGTCCTAAAACTCTTCTCAGTTTGACTTTTCCCCATTTTTAATTTTTGGCTTTGACTTTAAATTTTAACCTCCTTAAAAAAGATTTTTTGAATCTTTTTTAATCATTCAAAATATAGAGTTAGAAGATAATTGGTGTAAAAACATGAGGGTATTAATGTCATTTGTCATCTTTTTTTTCTAATGGGAAGGTAGTTTTATGACGGAGAAAAATGAGAAGTGGGAAGAAAGTTTTAGGACGGAGGAAGTAGTTTTTTACACCTATTCAAAGATCATTATATACTCCATTTGTCTCTAAATAAATTACACTTTATGCAAAGTGAAATAAAATTTTGAATTTTCAATGGTATGTTTGAGAACATGGATTTGAATTTCAAATTCAGATTTGGTTCAAATTCAATGTTTGCGAAATTTAAAAATTTTAGATTTGAATTTGATTCAAATTATTTTCATTCAAAACAGTGCTTATTTTGAAATTCCTCCACCTCCTTTGTCATTTGAAATTTAAGATTTTAAATTTTAAAAATGAAATGAAATGCTAGTTCTCAAACACTACCTAAAATTATTTTGTTTAAGATTTGTATAGAAATATGAAATAAAACTTGTATATTTTAAAAAAAATAAAAAATTCTAAAAAATAATAAGTGACAAAAAATTTATTTCATAAAACAATTCAACGGAAATACATAAATCAATACAAGTTCTCGTGATTTTTGAAAATTGAAGAATGTAAATGATTCTGGAATGGAAGAGCTATGAACAAAATATTCATTAAAATGTTAGCTAAAACATCATCTTCCATCCAACCAGCTTGTCATCTTTCTTACTTCAAACAATTACACATATCGGAGTGGACTTGTAATAGGATAATCTAAAGTCTACGAGTGAAATGTATTTTTAATGAACTCATAATTCGATCTCTTTCTATTTGTAAGATCCACTATATATAATCATTTTATATACCCCGAAGTATTAAGGTTTATAAGTGAACATGAATCTAAGGACCACGAAAGAGTTTGCCACCAAATGAATAAAACTTAGACCATGTGTTTAAATAAACTTTTTACTTAATGAATAAATATAAAAAAGTTAATATATTTGCTGTATAATTAATTGATATATATATGTTTGGTATGAGATATTTTGATGCTATTAATTATCTCATGTCGCTTCAAAATACTTTTTCCGCCCACTAACGATCTTTGCGTGTATCATATGTACTTCAAATTTGTATCCTAACTTACATATTAGTGTATTATAGTTACACATAGGCAATAATTATTTATACGTTATAGAGAGAATAATTGTATGTGTGTATAAGTTGGATTATGAAATTTTTGGTACCCATAACATTTTCCATTTAGGCAATATTCATGTGGCCTGTTGTCTCCCACACACATCTCAACACTCCAATTTCCCGATTTCCCCCCTCTATCAAGCTAGCAGCGACCCCAGCACCTCTGCGGGCCGCCGGCAGCGAGTCCGTAGTAACAATGGCCAGCGGAGTCCGAGTCGCCGCCGCTCAGATGACCTCCATTAATGACATCGCCGCTAACTTCGCCACTTGCTCACGCTTAGTAAAGGTAAATCCAATCTCTCATAACATACTCAAGTCCATAGCCGCCGGCCGGATTTATTTTGGAATGGACAGCGGTCCGGATGAGATTATTGAATTAAAGCTATTATCTTTTCTGTATTTTTTAAAAGGAAGCTGCTTCAGCTGGTGCAAAATTGCTTTGTTTTCCTGAAAATTTCTCTTATGTGGGTGTCGAACAAGGGGACAGTCTTAAAATTGCTGAGCCGTTGGATGGGCCTACTGTGAGAGGGTACTGTTCCCTTGCTAGGTGAGGCTACTTGAGACAAGCAGACCTCATGTTTATTTCATGCTCATATTTATCTCAGACCTCAAAAGGGTGCTTTCTGAACAAATTAAAAACAAAACTAGACCCTCCATCAAACAAAATTGACAGAAGATATGTATTCCGTATAATTAAAGAGAAAGCACAGTATCATTATGGTAAATAAGAAGTTTAATGTGCATTCATGTAGTGAGGGTCCATCACAATTTCTTACATATCAGTGATGTACTCGTAGTATGTTGCACGGATTATTCAAATAATTTCCCCCGTTTGGGTACTTGGAGACCTCCCATGTTCCCAACATCCAAATCCTTTGTTAAATGTGGACACTTTGGTGTTTCCCGACCCCGTAGGAGCACCCGTCCCTGTTTCCGGGTAATTTACATATACAACGAGTCAACAATGCATATAATATCATGCATGATAGGGCATGATGCACACCATAACCTCACCATATTTACAAAATACATTGGCCTCTCTCCATTTTTCCATCAATGCACCATTCATTCAAAGAGAGTGCAGTCTTATATGTATAGTATGGGGATGTAAAGCACTTTATAATTTTATATTTTTACACGATACATAATTTCTTTTTTATATTTACTGAAATGCTACTTTATTTTAACTTAAGCGTAGATCTCATTTGTCCTTTTGATGCGATGAATGGTTGGGTCTGTTTACATTTTGTTCAGATCTCAATTATCATTTGGACCTATCTTATTTGTACCGTGATAGGACAATCACACAAACCATTGTTCAATCAGTAGTCAATGGGTAATACTCACGTTAGGTAGCTTTACTTAGCAATATGATGTTTCACAAATAAATTGTTCTAATTCCTATCCACGGTACTAGTATTAAGAATCAGAATTAGAATATTTGTTGGGTGGATAATCAGAATCAGATTTTGTATTGTGCAGTGAATTGATTAATTCAGAAGTGTTTGACAGTAATCCTTTGTTCACATTTATGGATAAAGTGAGTGTTAGTTTGTGATTCCAGTTAACTAAATTGATATTATTGTTGTCATTAACTAAAGAGAGTCACGCATTTGGCTGTCACTTGGAGGATTCCAAGAAAAAGGGAGTGATGATGCACACTTGCGTAACACTCACATACTGATTGATGATGCTGGAAATATTACAAGTACTTACAGCAAAATGCATTTGTAAGAGTTTTGACTTTGTGTGGCTATAGTTATGTATAACCTTTTTTCTTTCCTTCCTAAGAATGGTTTTTATTGTATTTGATGAAGGTTTGATGTGGATGTTCCTGGAGGTGCAGTTTACAAAGAGAGTAGCTTCACAGAACCAGGTGAAAGCTTCGTTTTCCCTCGATGTTATATTGAATATTCTCTTCGCAACTAAAGCTCTCTAGCTTTCTGTGCAACCTACATCATACAAACAAAAATTGAACAACTAGAGAGTAATATTTGAACGTATCATCAAGTCAAAATATTTTTGGGTCTCAATTTAGAGTTAGGACATTTAGTTTTCTCCTTTCTTCATGGATGCTAGTTTTGATTTGTTGGTCAATATTTGACACATTTTTATCCAAATTTCTCGGGGATATGTTCTTTTAGGGAAGAACATTGCTGTGGCAGACAGCCCCTTTGGGAGAATAGGTCTTACAGTATGCTATGATTTGAGATTTCCTGAGCTCTATCAACACTTACGGTTTCTCCATGATGCCCAGGTTCATGATCATTAATTAATGTATTTATTTATTTATTTATTTACCCCACCTGTCTCATAAAACAGATCTGTTTCTCAACATATTTTTCCTCAAAAAAGAGTTCATTTTGTAGAAAAGATGTCAATTTTTGTTATACAAGGTTTTTTTTAAAATAAAAAAGTATATCAAACAAGTTAACCATAATAAAAATATGGTAATATTTGATGATTTTTGCCATCAGTACCTTACTAAAATACTCCCTAAGAAGTTTATATTTGTGAAATATGACTCTTTTTAAAGGATGGTGAGAGTTTTTTGTTTGTTATTGCACACAAGTCTTGATTCTTAAACAAAATTATACTCTCTACAGGTTTTACTTGTGCCTGCTGCTTTCACAACTACGACTGGTCAGGCACACTGGGAGATTCTTCTTCGTGCTCGGGCAATCGAGACACAATGCTATGTATGAAATGTTATAAAGTTTCCATTTTAGTAGGGTGTGTGTGTGTGGACTCGTACCCATGATTTTTTTAAATTTCATTATGTATTTCGTTATTTTGTGGGTAGTAATGATAGTTTGCCAGGTCATAGCTGCTGCTCAAGCTGGAAAGCATAATGAAAAAAGAGAAAGTTATGGCGATACTTTAATAATTGATCCATGGGGAACAATAATTGGGAGATTGCCAGGTCAGAACTATTCTTGTTAATGCATTTGCTTCTTCACCCAAAATATTAATTTAGTTGTACTTTTAGGTTCTGCTTGGATGCATGGGTTTGGGGATTTCAAAGTGGAAGGTTTTGGAGGTCTTGTTGAAGAGATAAATAACATTTCAACCCCCCTTTTATTCGGTTTAAGAAACATTCTATTCATCAAGATATAGATTAAGCTCTCCAAATCCTTCCCATAGAAAACCCTCCAAACTCTCCCTACCCACAGAGACCCATTGAGGTTGCTCTCTCACAGATTCCCATTGTTCGATATGTTTTCTACACCCTTATGCAAATTCTCTTTTGTTGTATGCCAGAAATGATTTTTCGGAATGATTATTGCTGAAAGAAATGACAAATACATACTCCATATGTCCCAAAATAAACATCTCACTTTCTTTTTTCCTTTAGTCCCAAGTGAAACTTCACATTTCTTCTTTTTCTTATTAAGGAATGAAACATGATGCTCCTCTAAACACATTTAAATCACACCCATTTTACCATTGAACACTTTTCTTAATCTCTGAGAAGTCAAACCATGAAGTTTATTTTGGATGGAGTATATAATCAATTGTTGATCTGGAAACATGTAAGATTTTGTCGTTTTTTTCAGACCGTTCATCAACAGGTATTACTGTTGCTGATATAGACTTTTCTCTGATGGATTCAGTTCGAGCAAGGATGCCTTTGTTACTGGTAAGTTTATGCTTGTTTATTCTACTCTGTCAATCACATTAGATGCACAAACACAAGAAAGTTCACATTTTACATTGAAGCTCTCTTTTCCATCTTCCTAGAATTTCTCCCTTATACTTATCATCATTTTCCCAATTCAATATGTAACCCTTCCATGTAAAGTCTGTGCATACACACCCTCCTTAGACCTTGTTATCTTCTGGATTTTACTGGGTTTGTTGTTGTAATATGTATAATGTACTCCTAGGAACTTATGCTAATTACAATGGGGGATTGGGGGAGGGGAGTGCTGCGTCGCAGGGAGGAGCAAGGCGCACGGCAGTCTTCCACTGCAGAACAGGGGGGCCATCCAGTACCGCAGCGCGGGCAGGACTGCGGGCGGCGGCGCGGGCAAGAGCGAGCAACGAGCGCCATTGCAGCGCCTCGCCGTGGGGGTGCTTTTTTGTACTTTGTTTCAATTTCAAAGTTTCTTTTCAACTCTATAAGTTCACCGCATCTCCAAATGCAATATATCCAACAATCACTCTCATCTCACTCACAAAATGAATCACGCCAATAACTTCCCGTTCGATCAAAACGTCATTGATGCGGTGCTCAGACATGCCCACTTTTCTAGTTTTAACACTAATATACAGGGGGGCTGCTCATATACACGACGAGTTTGCCCCGCTCTCGGGGTCCAACGACAGTCCCTACCAACTGTCGGCCGTAAATATGGACGACTACGACATTTCTAAATTGGAGCCCATCACCAAGGGCCAGAGCAAAGCGAAGGTAAAAAAGAATGATGGGCCAACAAAGTGTACCCCGGCGGAAAGTTTGGCATTAGCGAAGTTCTACATCGATGTGTCAGAGGATGCCATCATCGGGAACTACCAGAAACACCAATTGTTTTGGGAGCGTGTTGTGGAGAAGTACAATGCTGGGAGGCCCAAAGCTACGCCCGAACGTGACCGGGAGATGCTTCGGAAACACTAGGGGGATGTGCATAGGATACATCATTGATGTCACAGAGTGAGCTAAAGATGCATAACGACATGATCGACGCGACCTAGGCCAGAATCACTCGAGCAATGTAGTAGTACTTGTTTTCCAATTTTTTAATTTTCAACTATTTTAAATTTTTCATCTCGAGCAATGTAGTAGTATTTTCATCTTTAATTTAACTTTTAAGCATGTTAAATTTCCTCCCTTTTATTAATGAAGTATTTCGTACTACTTTATAGCGTTGTTCCGTATTTTATTACATTTTCAATGTTTTATAGCGAAAACTATGAATAGTGTAAAATAAATGGTGAGGTGTGGCTAGAGAGGTGATAGCATTGCAGGTGTAGAAATTTGTGCGTGTGTGTGTGTGTGTATCGTAATCCTTTTAATTGGTTATTATTAAGGTATTTAATGAATTTCCTGTCATTCTCACTTGAAGTGTCTTTGTTTTGTAGCACCGAAAGCCTGCTGCTGACTTCTGGAAATAAGCTTCTTTTTCTTGTTTTAAAGTAAGGCACTCTCTCTTGATTGATTCTCATAATTCCCATAACTGAAAGAAGCTTAATTGTGATGACCTTAACAAGCAAGCAAGCAAGCTAGCTTCTTTCGAGACGCTATTTCTGAATGGAATATATACTGAGTTTGTTTCACCATCCAAATAATCTTTCACAATTGATTGGGCACAAACAATTATTTATAGAGGTGAAAGTGGGACAGAATTATGTATGAAACTTTTGTACTCCATTTGATTGCGAATGTTATTTGATGGAATGTGAAAATTCTTTTTTAAGTTTCTTTATCAGTAAGAATGTAAAGTATAGTTAAATAAAATGTACTGTTAACATCTATTTTAAGTTTTACTCCATATATATTTTAATCCAGGTTCCAGTTAAGCTCCAAACTTTAGATTTCAAGATCAGGGTGAAAAGACTTTGCTCCCATTTTCCCAACCTTATTATGTGACATTGCCTATTTGCCCCGTAATGTCATGGGATGATCCGGGGACATTACGGTGCCCTTTTTAAAATTGATGATTCCTACCATCTAACCATCCTGGTAAACCCCCTACCCCGCACCGACCTGAACACACCCCCACCATCTCAATTGCACTCTCAAATTGACTCCAAAGTCAAAATTAACTTAGGGGTGCAAGTGAAGGTGGTGGGGGGGGGTGTTCGCGTCAGGGTGGGGGTTAATCGGGGGGTTAGGAGAAGTATGAATCGTCTATTTTATGAACGGAGCACTGTAGCCTCCTGGGTCATCCCGTGAGATTGAGTGCTAATGACAATGTCATGGAAACCCCCTCCGTATTGTCACCCAATATCTCCCCTCCTAATTATGACTTGTTAATTATTTTGTATTAAATGAGAAAATAATTAAAATGCTATGAGTGACGGCACACTAATCTTCATGAAAATAGAACATTTTCAAAACAAAGCACTACAAATTAGCGAAAATGAAAAAATATATATATACTCGTATATACCAATTTTGGGAAATTTGACGATTTACTGGACCAAAAATTTGCCATTTTTCATATTATTTCTTACCGACACAAGTTATTATTATCCCGTGTGGCTAAGCATCAAATTTCCCTACAAATTACTGTATGTAAGAAACACGAAATGCACTCAAAAAGAAAAAAAGAAAGAAACACGTAATAAAATGCAAAAAAAGAAAAAGAAAAAGGTGGTTAGTTTGTTGACTTTGTTCTATTGCAATTGCAAATAGTTGTCCACTTTTTTTCGCTTGTTCCTAATTGAGTTCACTTTTCTTTTTAAAAAAGGCATGTAACTTATAAAATTTCTCTCTTCAAAATAAAATTTTATCATTCCTTTTTATTTTTCAACATTTTTTCTATGAAATTAAGTGATTTTCCTTGTAAAATGGAGGGAATATAAATGAGAAAAGAACATTATTTACTCTCAAACTCTTTGAAAATTACATAGTTTACCCATCCACATTAAAAAGTGCACAATTTACTCTCGAACTCTTTGAAAGTTGCACGATTTACACCTGAACATTAAAAAGTACACCAAATATCTTTGAACAATTTAAAATGTTACATCGTTAGTCTTAAAATGCTAGATAGGGAGTGCGTTGTTCCCACACATAAGAACTGTGAGTATGATTCATCTAGCTCTTGTGAATTCTATAAAATATCCTTCCCCAAAATTATCATCTTTATAAAACTGTTCAGGAGTAAACCATGCAATTTCTGAAGAATTCAGGAATATTTGGTGCAGTTTTTAATATTTAGTGATAAATCTTGCAATTTTTGAAGAATTTAAGGGTATTTGGTGCGCTTTTTAATGATCATAGGTAAACCGTACAATTTCTGAAGAATTCAAGGGTAAACGGTGCACTTATCTCGAATATAAATAAAGAGTAAAAATTATACTCCCTCCGTCCCACTGTCTTTATCCACTTACCTTTTGGCACACCATCCAATGCACTTCTTTAATCCATTTTATCTTGTAATTTGTATATTAAAAAATTATAAAAATTATATATTAATAATCTATATGTTAAGACGAATCAAACAAGATCACACATGACTATTTTTAAGCTTACACATTGAGAGAATTTGATGAGTCAAAAGTGCTTAGATGAACAGTTCCAAAAGTCAAAACTGGACAAAGACAATGGGACGGAGGTAGTAGTTGTGAATAGTATTAGTCTTAACATACTCCGTATAATTATGGTGAAGTTTATGTATAGCAAATTTAGCATCTAGAAAGAAAAAAATGCATAGTATAAAGCAACATTTCCATTATTTCCTCAGGCTGAAAAAAAAACTACATACAATCATCATAATTTTTTTTTTCCTTTGGGGGTGGAGGGTGGGGTGGGGGTGGAATTTCACAACTCTTTCACTTCAGCATTAATGCTGTCTTGAGAGTGGCAAAAACAAATCAGATTTCTCTAATTCTCTTTTTTGGTATTCAAGCCTATAGTAACAACCTCAACAACCATATTCAAATGAAACCATATACCATTCTATAGAAGAGCAATGTATACCTAAATATGAACACGAGGAACGCGACATTTCCTGTATATCTAGTAGGCATCATTCAAGAAGATCAAGTGGTTTACCGAACGCGTCTTTAAGAATTGTAATCTGTCCTTCTTTAAGGAGCACCTCTTCATCTAGTGTCTCTATCTTTTTCTTTAACATGTTGTTCTCCGAATCGAGCAGCATATTGTTTTCGCTGTACTTCTTAACTTCTGCCCACAACATGTCCCTTTCTTGGGTCACTTTTGGCAGTATCCCCTTCACTACCGCCAGTTCCTTTATACATTCGTCAAGATCATTCTCAAGCTTGTGTATGTTCTCATCTTTTTTGATTATCTGTGGGTAAGGATAAAACACACTGATTAAGCAACACTTTATATGATCTTGTAGTTTTGGAAGAAAAAAATATAGTGTTATGCCCAAACAGCTGTTGGTAAGAACGGAAGATGTGGATATTTGACATTTAGTGCTCTCTTGATTTCATAAACTAGAATGTAATATGAAACACTTTCTAATTTATAACCAAAAAAACTTTTTTGTGAAAATATTGAACCAAAATGAAACATTTTATGAAATGGAAGCAGTTAAAACATTAACTTGTACTTGTGTTTTAAATGAAAATCCTAATGGCTCATTAATTGCATACTTCGCTTGTTGATGTAAGTAGTACCCCATTAAGTAGATGCATGCATGGAAATGAACCATCTTTGGGAGATGACCAAAAAATAGAACAGTAGACTATCGTTTTGGTTGCATGGAGTATATAATATTATAATAAATAATACTCCGTACTCCGTAATACACATAAATCACGAAAATGTAAGGGAGAAACATCATTTTAGAGCAAGAAATAGTTGCCTAAAATGTTGCCTAAAATAATGGCTCAGCAAGCTCTCTAAGTTTCAGGAGAGTTTTTGAAACAACAATTGGTTTCAATGCTGGCTCATTACACATAATTATACAATTAAATTAGGTTGTCGTGAAATTTCATTGAAGAAAAAAGGAAAACACACTCCATACTATTAGAGTACTAGTAATGGCTCACCTGAAGTTCAAGATTCTTTGCCTTGTGAATTGCACAGGAAAGGTTGTCCCGCGCATTTTGCAACTCACAATTGATCATGTCTTTACCTCTGATAGAGGTTGCTAGCTCAGCATGAAGTTGCTCCATATCCAACTCTTGGTTATAAAGCTTCTCGCGCAACAAACTCGTCAGTAATATCTCTGATTTCAGCTCGCACTGCATTACGAAGCAAAGGTTACCACAAGTACTTAAAACAAACACAGTTTTGTCAAAATAAAAGCATCATTGTGAACTTACTTCAAATTTCTGGTGGTCATCTGACTGACGTGTTCTATTCTCCAAAATAGATGTCTCGGATTTAGACTTCTCATGCAGCACAAAGGAGACATTCTGTAAGCTCCTTGCTAAATTTTCTAGCCCCCTCTTGAAGCCTTGGAGCTTTATATCAGTCTCAATAACAAACTGGCCTTGTGATCCTCCATCCACAGTAGATTTGGTGTACTCTAGCAACTTTTCAGAAAGAATAGTGCTTTCTTTAAGCATCAATATCCCTTGTGTTTGCAAGCAGTTAACACGGTTCAATAATTCCTGATCTAGCCTAAAAGTGGCATCCTGGCCAACCCCTTTCAAGCGATTCAACAAGTTTATATTCTCGTGACGAAGCTGATCAACCTCAAGCTTGTAGGATTCCACTTCCTTCCTTAAAGCACATTCGTTTCCCACCAGCCTAATATGCTCCACACGTGACTTAATCAATTGATTGTCAAACTCCTCTGCTGATCGTTTCTTGTTAATCTCCTCATAGTACAATCGCAAACCATCAATTGTCTTCTCTTGTTCGCTACAAGTCCTCTGCAACCTTGTTATGGACCTGTGCAAGTCCTTACACTCTTTCACCTTCTCTTCGCAGTTCCTTCTGATGCAATCTAGATCTTCCTGGGCTGCTTTGTGCTTCTCTTTAAGTTTAGAAAGATTTTTCTGCAGGTTTTGATTCTCCTCCCTTTGTTCCTCAGATATCCTTTTAAGTTCTTCAAGCTGGTTCTCTAAATATGAAATCCTACTTTTGGTATCCACCTCCTTCTCACTGAATGAAGATACTTCCCTTTGAAGGAAAACATTTTGCTCAGCAAGCTCTCTAACCCTGTCACGAAGCATGTGTTCTTCTACATGGAACCTCTCGAGTTTGAGTGACCACTCGCTTGATCTTCTATCCAGCTCCTTTTCCATAGAAAACTGCAGTTCGTTCTTCTCAGCTTCCAACCTTTGCTTCTGTGAATCTAATTCAGCTCTTAGTAGTTTCAGTTCTTCCCTAGCAGAAGCCCTCTCAGCAATTTGGCATTGCAACGCAGATGCAGTATCACGGGCCATTTGGAGTTTCTCCTCAGTCAAGCTTCTAATTTTCTGGATCAATGTAGGTATACTGAGCCCTCTACTATGAAGAAAGGTCTGTTCTTCAATGTCTTCAGAAAGCACAGCTACCTGTTTCTCAGCCTCCTTATACTTTCTAATTAATTCAATATCAGAATCTTCCTCACCAGAGAAGATTTTCCTTTCTTGGAAGCTTGGAATATTTTTGCTGTGCTCACTGGTTGCTTCATTTACCCCATCAATCAAGAAACTTTTTTGTGAAGTACCATCAAGATATGAAAGAGGAAGTCCACTTGTGTTTCCATTGTAGATATCTTCAATCGTAATTGGATTATGAACATCATATTCATTTTTACTTTTAGGTGGCAGAAATCGAGATTGAGAAAGTCTCTCAACCACTCTCTTTGCAAGTTTCCTGGGTGATTCATTCTTAAAACCATTCTCAATCAGATCTTGAAGCTGGGGCCCTCTAGTTTCTCCCAAAGATTGAGACTTTGGTTTCTGTTTCCTAAAATTGGGTTGTGAAGCTGGCACTATGTTCTGAGATCTTGCATGCTGTTGCATTCCCTCTTGCTCACCATCAATATAACGGTCTAAAACTTTGCTTGAAACATTGCTAGAGCAGTTAGAGGAGCTGTCATGTGAATCAAGGTATTGTTGAAAAGAGGAACCATAACCGTGCAGTCCATTCCCCACTTTGTAATTATCTTCAACACCATCTATCCCATAGGACTTTCCACGGTATAGCCTCTCGGGTGTTAGTGCACGACTGCTGACACAAACAAGAAAACTGATTAAACCTTGACACCTTGTAATAAAACCTAAATATAATGTAGTAGTAGTATTTTGTCATCCAATTATCACAAAATGTGTTGCATACCGAGATGAGTTACGATTTGATTTCTTAGGGTGTGCATTATTACCGCCACAAGGAGACCTGCTTTGGTCCTGGGAATCCATTTGTACCCCCCAACCATCATAAAGGGATCCAGAAGAAAATGACAGACTCCTCCCGAGACTTGGTCTATCACCCAAGGAATGATTTTCTGAGACTTTCTTTTTAGTCTTGGTTTTGTCAAGTGTACCAGGGGTTTCCCGGTCAACTTGTTTTTCCTTTGCCTGTGGGGATATTTGGGTGCTGTTCGCTCCACTAGGTGCAGAAGATTTGAAAAAGAACAGTTTTTTCATCTTTATAGCATGGACAACTTAAACCTACCTGCACAGCACAGTAATTAACGAGACGATTAGTTCCATTGCGCAAAAATGGGTAATTGGCAACAAAAGTATGATAATTGATGACAATTTCACTCGTGCATAGCCTGAAGCCTAGTTTCAGCCATTTAAATTGCAGGGTGAGAAAAACCAATGACTAGAAACAATAAGACATTGCAAATGCATTCAGAAATGAGGAAATATGTCTATATAAAAAAACATGCACTTATTAAATAATGATCAGAGCATATACAACAGTATTCTTTTCATCGAATCTTTTTTAGAACCTGTTTGCAAACAATGAAGTCATGTGAGCTATGTCAAGAAGATTGAATGGCCTATCCCTTTCTCTCAATATTTATACAATTTAAAGAGCATAATTAGTACTTCCCACATCCCAGAACAAATTATTAAATACAATAGTAAGATTCTTCCTCGTACCCTCCTTGCCCTGCAGGTATGCTTTGTGCATCAGGCTGCCCATTTTCTGGTATAACAATCTTCACATGCCAGTTCTCAAGTAATAATGATAAACAAATTACAATGCACATTGAACAGATAAATTGAAAAAGTCACAAGACTAGACACCTCAGTTTGTGAGAACATTGACTTAAGCAACACTAACTTAATAGGGAGTAATAATAGTAGCAATAATGTTGTGTAGTTGGAATATGGAATATTGATACTTCAAAGAAAATCAATCAATGTTATAATTGGCTCCTTATTCAAGAGTCATTAATGTGAGAACTGAGAAGCTCGACTTAAAAGCATCAATCCATAATAAAATCCAAAAGACTGCACTACTCGCCGACATATTATTACCCTTCAAATATCTTTGTTTTTCTTCTTCAAACATAAAATAAACACGGAATGCCCAAAACTTTTGAGGTCCCTGTGCGAAAAAAATAAAATTAGACGTCTACCGCTTGTAGTATACTTGCCTCTAAGTTTTTTGGAAGATTTTTAAGCGCACTTATACTAATTTCTTATGATGCCAACTTCAACTACAATAACATTTTAATATTTGGAATTAAGGCATTTTTTTAGATGAAGCAAATAGTCACAAATCCAAACAATATTTAATATTTTATAGAAAAAATGCACACTTTTTAGAATTAGATTGCATAGCCAACCCATATCAAATTGAATGTGAAACACTCACTAAATATTCTCCCTGTATGATGCATACTAATAGAATACCTTCGGCAACGAAGTGCCATAGAAGGCTAGGGGACCCAAAATTTAAGGGGACTGTGCACTTCTCAGACACACCTCTGAAAATAAAACATATCAAAATCAAAACAAAACAACAAAGGAAGCTACTACATTAACTTTGAAGACGAGTAATAGTGACGAAGGGCAAGGAGCCTTAAGATGATTGGAAAAAAAAAGGAAAAATTGCCAAAAACTGAAATTCAAATTTCAAAAAAACTAGCCGGATTCATCTTATCCAAAAATCACACAGAAATCAAATATCTCTAATTTGTTGTAATAATCATAGCCAGATACTGGAAATGAATCCAAGTCGCGGATTTCTCAATACATCCACACAGCTCACCAAATAATCGTTAAGCGAATCGGAATGTAGAGAGAAAGAGAGGAACAAACTTACTGTGAATGAGGGCTATGCGAGAGCCCGATTCCGGCCGACGGGAGGCGCGAAGTGAGCTACTTGCTTATAGGATTTAGGCACCAGAAACGACGAGAAAGGTGAAAATGAATGAACAAGACGATTATACAGCGCTTGAAATCTCTAAACCACTGGGAATGTTAAGAAAGAGGGAGATGATCGATCGGAGAAGAAGAAGAAGAAGAAGAAAACGAAAATTCAAATTTGGAAGCCGTAGAGACGGCGGAGGGGGAGCGGAGCGTTTTGAGTTGGTTTCCTTTGCACTTAAAAGAGAAACTTTTGGGGGATTGGGATAATCTTTTGAGTGGGGGTGGGGACAGTAGAGAGCTCTTGACGTTTTACTTGCTTTGGGCTGACTTGAGCATCCGTACCAACCACCAAAGCATAGTCCATCCATTTTTTATTGATGTGTATTACTCCCTCTGTCCTAAAATTAACTTCCCATTTGACTTTTCACGGTCTCCAATGCGACACTTTGACCATCAATATCTCAATTTTTATATAAATATATTTTATAAAAATTATATATTTCAAAACTATGTTTCAAAATGAATCTATTGCTAATAAATTTATATGAAAATTCAATATATTTTTTCCGTAATATACGGTCAAAGTTTAAAAAATTTGACTACAAAAGTCAAACTGGGAAATTAATTTTAGGACGGAGGGAGTATTACTTTTAATTAATTAATTTTTTTAAAAAAATGTTTTTTTAAATTTCATGAGTCATTTTTCTTCCGTAAAAAATGAAGTAATATTTCAAACAAAAGATTTGAAGTAGCAAAAGTTATTATTCGTTCACGATGGCTTTGTCTTGCACCCTCATTGCGTTTTAAACAGATGATTAAGGAGGAAGTGTGATATCAACGATGTCGATATGTTCATTCAATCATAAGGATATCAAGAAACGACTTTTTTATGAAGTTTGCATGTCTCCAAATTTTAATTCTAAATTTTCTTTTAATTTCATCAAATATATATATTGGGAACTTTATACTCTGGATATTGAAACTCATATCTATTTATTATCAAGGTGGCCCTAAGATAACAAAAATGCAAAAACAACATTTTAATGGATACTCTCAATCCATTTAATCAGGTGTGGGATACCGTGTTAAAAATGACATACAAACTAGATAAAATTAAAAGCAAATAGGATATTAGGCTACGTGTAATAGGGGGGTTGATAGGAGCTTGATTGGGTGCCACGCAGGCACCGCGTAAGCAGGCTAGTGTGAGTAGACAAAATTGTATTATTAAGATCAATAGAGAGCATGACTAAAAGTGATGGGATGAAAATGTAAATTATTATGTTGATTAGTTGAACAAAGTATAAAAATTAAATATGAAAACCTCATCATCGACTGTAAGGCCATCACTAAAGAAGAGCCACACCCCATCACCTGAGACGCGGTATGGTGGAAATGGCGTGAAGCAAGCACGAAGAAGGGGACACACCCTGTTGTGATACCACATACTAGTACTACACATAACCATAAAATAAGCTAAGAGAGATTTCAACAACTAAATTAACATAAGACGAACTTCCAAGATATGGTCGACCATCTTCAAAATCACATCATAGAGGGCAAATTGAGCAACTACTGTCCACTACCTCTCAAAAAATGAAAAATGTATCTAAAGGTTACTCCATATTTGAAAATAACTTTGGCTTCCTTTGACACCAGTGTTAGAGAATTCCGTTAGCATTTTTAAAATGATATTTGACAGTATTCTTTAATATTATCATTTTTAGAATTAATTTATACCATTAGTATTTTATCCAAAACGTTAATGCTATACGAAGTAATTGACTGCTGATTGGTCGCATGGTGATAATAATAATAATATAGAGTTATGATTGTTATTATTATTATTATTATTATTATTATTGTCATTATTATTATTATTATTATTATTATTATTATTATTATTATTATTATTAAAGGAGGAGTTATCCGTAGGCATTCTCCTTGCATTAATGACTTGTATGAATCTCCTTAGAGCACTGGAAATACCCGTGAAGCCCCGGGGCTTCAAAATTTCTCTCTCTGCCACATCAGCTTTAACTTACCTCACAGATTCAATGGAAATGGGTTTGAAGCCCCGGGGCTTCAAACTGGGGCTTCAAACCTTCATTTTTTACATTTTTAAATATACATATTCTAAAACTAAATTAATAAAATTTAATTTTTTCATTATATTGAAACAAGAATAATAAAAAAATACATTCATTAAATTTAAAGAAATTGAAACGACAATAATTTTAAAAAATTACATTAATTAAATACTTAAAACAAATTATATTAAGCTTTGATCTCGTTATGTCTTCTCTCTAAAGTAGATTATATTCAATTGGTCATTTGACTCGAGACCGGACAAATGAACATAAAAAATGAAGACATTCATGTTAAAAAAGATGAAAAAAATTGAATATTTTTTTTTAAATTTGAAGAAGATAGAGGAAAAGATTTTGTGGGTGTTTAATTTTTTTAAAAATAATTGAAGAAGAAAGATTTTGTTTGTGAGGTTTATTTTTAAAAAGAATAAATTGAAGAGGAAAATATTTTGTGGGTGTTTATAGGAAGAGTTTTTTTTTTAATTTGATGAAGATGGGCAAAACGCCCGTTAAAGATTTAACGCAATCAAAATCACGCCCGGATAAAGCCCCAGAGGGGCGGTGTTTAACGCCCCTGGGGCGTTAAAAGTGCAGTCACGCCACTAGGCGTTACATGCATTACCAGTGCTCTTAGTGTAAAGTCAATTTCCTCATTGACTTTTATGAACTTTAGAAAAATTGTTGGAGTTCTAATAACCTCTCATCACCAATTAAACACTTAAATGCGGCCTCTCAAATTTTACGAGTTTTCAATATTCAAAAGCTGATTTTGTGACAATAAGATTTTTTCTTTTGGTCAAAAAAGTTAATTTCTATTTTTTTCTAAACTTTTTCTAGTTTTTTTTCAAACTTCTCCTCGTTTCTTAACTCTTCTTAAAGTTTTCTAACTTTATATTATTAGTGTATTTTTATTATATTCACATTACATTTATAATTATTATTACTATAATAATGATGACGATGATGATAATAATAGAAATAATAATAATAATAATAATTGCTATTATTAATTTCATTATCATCTCCACCATCGAAATTAAAATAAGATGAAAAATTAAAATAGTTTCTAAATTTGCATAAAAAATTATTTGTTTTAAAAACAAATGTATATATGTACCATTAGAACAACTCTAATGGAGAAGGCATGAGGAGATATACCTCATAATTTCCAAAGTCGTCTTTTCTTATGTTTTACATCCTAAAAGTGAAAGTTAATGAAGAAGTAAAATATTTCTTTCAATATAGAGAGGTATCAATACCTTTTCAAAATTGAAAAGGTAAAAGAAAAAAATAGGAAAAAGCTATATAACTTGCAAAATTGCCTTTCTTTTTCCTATACGTACTTTTTATTTGAATGGTAAAGGTAAATAGAAAGACAAAAGTTTTTCCAATTTAAAGAGATTACTTCTCATTTAGTCATTTACCTTCCTTCATTGGAATTGCTATTTTATAGTCAATATATATTCCTTCTGTCTAAAAAATTCCTCATTTTCTTTTCATGACGTTCGAAAAAAACTCATCTTTATAATTTTGGCAAATTTTATGTCGCCCAATATCTTCTCCTCATTTTCTTCTCCATTCGGCATCATTTTCAATCACACAAATTTTGAATTTTGTGTCAACCTTTATTGGGAAACTTTTTTTGAGAGGGAGGTTGTAAATTTGTAATATTAAAATGTTAAAGAAGTCTTTGTGCGATGGGAAGAGCGGTGGAATAAACATCAAATTACCTCCGAAGTAAAAAAAAAGAAAAAAAAAAGAATTGGTAATCAAAGCAAAACTTTTGCCCGAAAATTAAAATAAAGTTTGACTATGGGAAGAACGATGAGACGACAGCGAAGCCCAGGTGGAAGAAGACGGCGGTATGTAGTTTTAAAATATACTCCGTATAATTTTATTTTTTAATTTTACAATTATAATCAAATAAATTGTATTGAAAATAATTTCAATCAGATCTCGTAAATCTTGTTTAGTCAAGTTAAAATACCATGCACTTTCTATTTAATTATAAATCAATTCTGATTGATCGATTAAAGTCAAAACTGAACAAATATTCATGGACAGAATTAATACATCCATAGAAAATTCTAAGATATATTCATAAATATTCTGACAAAATCTTTTATAGATACAATTTGTGAATGATCGAATATAGAAACAACTTTTAAAAATTGAGAATGTTTATGTCATAAGGAGTACCTTAGAATAATTGAAGGCTAAATATGAAAAATTAACTTAATTCCATGATTCTATCTTTGTTTGGATGAGAAGAAAAAACAAAAGGAAAGGAAATGATGGTAAGAAAAATGGAGAAAATTGAAGAGAAAAAAAAGTTAGTGTTTGGATTTATAGAAAATGATTAAAAAGAAAAATTCTCATGTGTTCTTAGTCCACATTCATTCCAGAAACGTTGGTACATAAACAACCTGAAAGAATTGGATTTTTTACAAAAAAAATCTAAACATAAGTTCATCAAAAATGTGAGAAGGTCCATATTTCATATTTTTTTTTTGAAAGTAGTCCATATTTCATACTCCCTCCGTCCCATTTTATAACGCCTGTTTCGGTTTACGATGTTTGACTGAAGTTATTTTCAAATCATTTTATATGACAAATGGTATAGAATTAAAAAATAAAAATTACATATCAAAATACTACATCAAAAGATCTACAAAACTAGTAGTGACAACAATATTTTATTTTATCAAATTGCTAACGAAAATTGAGAAAAAAAGTGAATGAAGTTTGACCCTATGAATAGTAAACAGGCATTATAAATTGGGACGGAGGGAGTATAAGATTGTAACGACAGAAACAAAACTAATTTAAAGAATGGTGTGAAAAAAACAAAAAAAAAAT